CCCACAGTCTGAGACTACCCGAGAGCCTGAAGGACCTCCAGAGCCTCTCTTTTTTCTCGGGACCGTGCGCGGCCAGCACACGCTTAGATCTGAAAAACACAAGCTCGGAGCGCGCTTGCCAGAGCCACGATCGCTGCAGGCGCGACCGAAACACTCACTTCACGTAAAAGTTGCCAAGTAAGTGAAGGTAAGCTGGGTTCAATGGAACACAGCAGGAGGGAGGTGGAGGGGACGCAGGAGGAGCAGAAAAAACTTGAGCACATTGGGCGATGGATCGGAGGGACCTGGCCACGACTCATGCCGCAAAGAGACATCAGTGATTGCTGCAATCTTTACATTCACTAAACTGCGTGGCCAAGGAGGCTACATACTGACCCACAGTCTGAGACTACCCGAGAGCCTGAAGGACCTCCAGAGCCTCTCTTTTTTCTCGGGACCGTGCGCGGCCAGCACACGCTTAGATCTGAAAAAAAAACACAAGCTCGGAGAGCGCTTGCCAGAGCCACGATCGCTGCAGGCGCGACCGAAACAGTCACTTCACGTAACAATTGCAATATACCTTGCATTAGACCAAAGGGCTGGTTGACGGAGGGCTGCGAGCAGGCGACTAGACAGAGTGGCAGCGGCGGTCGAGGCAAGGCGCTGATCGCCTGGCTGCAACTTCTGAAACACGGCGTGCAAACGGGCGTGTTTCTCGCATCTAGACACACTGCGATGGTCGGCCCATTTTCCTCGGCGACGCACTTCCCCAAGGGTGCAAGCCTTGGTGTATACATCCGTCGAAGGACCACCGTGGCGTAGGCAGTGGGGTGACAGACGGAGATGCGAGATGCCGAGCCGTACAACCGAATCCTTGAAAAATTTCTCGAACTCTCGAAATCCGAAAGGGAAGATGACATGATCACACTGGACGTGAGGGAAGATGATCGCCAAAGCTCGAGCGATCCATTCCCGTCCAGCGACCTCGCCGACCACGACGCTGTCATCGTAGGCGCCGGTCTTCGAGGGTTGGCCTGATTCGGCTGGGGACAGTCGGAGGCACCAGCGATCATAAACCTCGTGAACTGCATGCAGCAGCCGGTGGCATGACGTTAGAACGGCGCAGGGTGCATCCCGCTCCAGGCCGCAGATAACAATCAAAGCACAGGACGACTAAAAAGGCGGCAAGCGCCAGACCATGCTGGAGCATGTCGTCAGCGATCCACCACGCGATCTCGAGGGGAGCTGGATCGCGCGTCCCGCGCGGCTCCAGGTTCCGCCATCCAGCGAGCGCAGCACGGCTCCTGATGTAGAGCCTCCGATCTTTGTGAGGCGTCTCAGGATGGCACCACGCAAAGCCATACAGGGCGGAGCGGGCTACTGACTGCGGCTCCCCGCTCAGGAACAGCAGCTCCATGAACCTCTCCAGCGCCTCGTCGACATGATCAGCGGTGTCCAGCGGCAGACCGCTGCGGCGGGCGAAGGCGACGAACTTGTTGTTAGCGTCCGTGTAGGCCTGGCGGGCCCCTGCCGACCGGATCGCGTGCGCCCCCAGGAACCCTGGTCCTCCTTCCGCTCCGAGACGTTGAGCACGCGCAGCGGCAAGTTGGACCCGTGCCCCAGGCGCCTGTCGCCCCGGCCCAGGGCGAGGTCCAGCGACGCGGGAGGTGCCTGAGCTCGAGCCGCGGCCGTTGGAGACCGGCCCCAGCGTCTTGACGCAGCTCCTCTTGCCAGGCATCCGACAGCCGGGCCTCGCCAGGAGCGCGCTCTGCCCCCCTCGGGGCGGCGCAGCGAGCGGCCCACGCCCACGATCGGCACAACTGGGGGGAGTACGAGGCTGCAAGACAGGTCTTCCACTTCCAACGATGATGTCCGTCTTGAGCCGATAGTCGTACTTTCCCCTGAAGGATCTCGCGAGGCTTCCGACATTCACACCTCAGACTCAGGCTATTCAAGGAATCACAATTAGTCGCTAGTAGGGTCGGCTTCTTATATGAACAACCGTATCGACAACAGTCATACTCGACAAAGAACGCGCCCGCGTATTCCAAGGCCTTCAGGATCTCGGGCTGCCTAAACAGGGACGAGGTCTTGGGGTTCTCGAGGGAGAAGTGTACCTTCAGATCCGTGCAGAGCTTGATCACCCTTGCAGTGAACCGAACGTGCTCCCGAGACACCCGCACCGACGATTTTGCAGGTCGAGACTTCCTCGCAATACTCCACGGGGTACACGGCGTCCCAAGATGTAAGTACCAGATGCGGCCCTCGTTGAGCCACCTGATCACGACGTCCTGGACCCCCCGCTTCTCGAGATTGAACTCCGGACCCTCGGCGATATCGAACGGCGCGGACACCCTGAGGCCCACCTCGGCCATCCCAGAAGTCAGAGCCCCACAGCCAGAGTAGAGCTCCAGGAAGGCTGGCGCGAAGCGTCTCGAAGAACGTGGCGAAGGCGGCGGACGAGACAAAGACTGCTGAGCTCTCACCTCCCTGCCTGGCTGGCGAGACGACGCAGGCCGAGAGGTACTCATTTTCAGACCCAGTGAATCTCATGCAAGTGGCATTGCTCCCCGCGGTCGGAGAGGGCGTCGGGCATCGGGCCTGTCGTCCCGAAGCCGACGAGAGAGAGCTGACGAGGCCGAGCAGCGCGGAGGGCCCCGAGAGGTTGTGGCAACATGATGTGTTTCGTCGTCGAAACGTCTCGATCCCTCGTCTGCGGGATTTCGTTCGGATTCGATGTATCGGAGCCTCAGGTCGATGCCGCGCCCAATCGAGTAGGCGGCGCACCTGCGGGCCAAGGCAAGCAGGCCGAAGTCTTTAGCTCGGCCTTTCTCGAGACAGCACAGTGAAGAGAGGTTATCGGACAGCGCGAGGAGTCGTCGTCCATGACCTGAACGAGTATACGACTCTCTGCGGAGCGCCATTCGAATCACCCTCCCCTCCTTCATATGGATGGCCTCGTCCCTCTTCCACCTCCCCTCGAATAAAGTACGCCAACGACCAGGCTCGACAACGTCCTCGGGAAGGATCGGGACCATGCCAACTATCTCCTTCTGCTCTAGCTGTCTACGCTCCTTACTACGTAGTTTACAGACTTTAGAACGAAAACCACCCGACTCCAGAACGCCCGAAGACGGGTTGTGTATCCCAGCAGACTCCAGAAGCCACCGTGGGTATGATGTGTCAGGCACCTCAAGATCAGCAGACCAGCCAGGGCTCGGGGGCGGCAGGTTCCCAGAGGTCCTCATGGTGTCCCCGCGATCCCCCTCTACCTCCACGAACCGCCAACGCTCCTTCCACCTAGTAAGCTTTCGGAACTCCGCGGTGCCCATGGGGGTGTCCATGACGGCGTATCCCTTCCCTGACGCGTCTCCACAGTAGGCTCGATCCGAAGGCGGAACGGACAGCCGTGCCTCGGCCAAGAAAACGAGCCCCGCCATCACGCGGAACTCACGCTTCACCTGGCCAGGTAACTCACACTACGTCCTAGGCTGTCGTTCACAAGCCGATAGGCGTGGGCAAAGACAGACATCGCCGGCCTCAGGAGGACAAGGTAGTGGATGCAGTGACCCAGCAAAACACGAACTGCCTCTCCAGTCACCTGGCGCAACTTCAGAAGATACTTAATCCCAAGATACAACCGCCACGCCCTCTCAGGCTTGCGACGAATGCTGCACCTGCTCTTGTCTATCACGATGCCCACATTCTCGACCAGCAGGGCGTCCCCGCCCTCCTCGTGCAACGTGAACCCCACGCTCTCAAGCTCCCTCTTGATCGCAGCGTAATCTGACGAAACCTCGGAGCACGAGAGACCGACTGTGGCAAGGTTATCCACATAGACACTCGAGACGGGACCAGATCGAAGATCAGGAGCGGGGAGCCCCTCTTGCACCAGCCGATGCTTCCCCCCGATAGCCACGGAGGTGAAGTGCTTCACCGAGGTGGTGCAGAAGTGCAGGGCCCAGGACCAGCCTTGTGGCGTCCCAAGAAAGACAGGAAACACTTTCTCCGTGGGCCCGGCAGGGCGAAGCCTCTCGAGGTCGTTGTCGAAGATCTGCGAGAGGCCGAACTCGGAGCATCGGACGGGGTCGTCTAGGCCGAACCACTCGGCCATCGACTCGACCGAGAACTGATAGAAGGCGTCCTCCACGTCACCAACACAGACGGAGAGGTTCGGGACCTCGGCAATCGGGCCACACCCCTGCGCCAAGCTGGCGAGCTCATCCTGGTCGAGCCAGCCGTCCAGCTGCGAGAGGGCGCCAGCTCCCCCTAGTCTAGTCTTCGGCGGCAAGCGGTGGTGCCCGCTCGGCATCTGGGCGTCCGCGATAAGCCTGATCCCACGACGAGACGACTTCCACACAAAGAATATCCCCACCTTCGCCTTGATACGAGTTCTGAACCCCAGGAGTCCCTTGTCATAGAGCTTACGGTAGAGGTCGAGCCGCGCCGACCGATCCTGTCGCAAGTGGGGGTCCCAGTAGGGCCTGAAAGTCGGGTGCTCCTCATTCCAGGCATCGATCTCGGGTTGCGAGCGAACGAGGTACCTATCCGGATCAAGCAAGAAGGCCGCCTCCTCGGGCGGCAGCAAATCGACGGCGGGCTTTGACGCCGTCTTGCCCTTCACGATCTTCAGAAGATCGGGCTGATACGGGGCGAGGTTCTTCTCCCCAACGCAGTGCAGGTCATTTGCCCTGAGAAGCCCCCAGAAAGCTTCCCGAGCAGTCATCCCAGCCGGCATCGGCCCATAACTACCAACGACGTCTCGAACACGATTCATCACAGCAGCCTGGGTGAAGGAGAGGCGCGGCGGTAACGAAGTCCCAAACCAGGCACCTCCTGAACGAATCAAAGAGGCGGTAGAGGCAGCCAAAGTGTTGAGGCTGCGCACCGCTGCGGCGATCTTGAGCTGTCTGCTTCTTCGAACAGTTAACCCAGGCGCTTCACGGTGGGGAGGGGGCCCACGATCACCACGTCCAGCAACGGAAGGCACTGGCAGCGGGAACGGATCACCATGCTTGGGCCCACCTCCTCTGTCCAAAAACTCCCCACTTAGTACTCGGGAGTCTCGGCAGGGAAGTGTCTCATCCTTGCCCCCCGGCGCCAAGGCGGTCATGATGTCTGCCCCTCCTGCTGGCCAGCAGGAGAGGCCTTCGCCTTCGCCTCGGACTTCAGGTCCGGAGGCCCATCACGATTGTCAGAACAACGGCGCTCGGCGGCCAGCACCTCTCGCCACTTCCGTTGGACCTCCATCGTCTTGGCCTCCTCCTTCTGCTCGCTGCCGAGCCAAGTGTCGTAGCCGTGCAAGTGGGCCCTGCCGATCTCGTCGTAAGACCCGATGGTGCCGATGTCCAGGCCTGCAAAGCTGGGATCACGTTGGACCTGCTGCATCACGTGGAACCTGAGCACCGCCTGCTCGGTGCAGGCGAGGTTGGTCGACTCGATCTGGTCGTAGCCGATCTCGAGCCTCGCGATCTGGACTAGGTTCCGAAGCACACGTGCCACGGACGAGTTCTCGCTGACCCCAGACTTATGCATGAGAGCGTCGAGCCACACCTGAAGGTCACCGCCGCCCCCAAGGTCCGACTCGAGAAACTCCTGGATGGCCTTTGGCCCAGGATGAGGCCATCGTGCGAAAGCCTTGGGCGTCACAAGCTCCATCGCCTCCGACAGCGGCAGCACTTGCCTTTGCACAGACTTCAGGACATGACCAAGCAGCCGTAGGTCACCCGAAGCACCGCCAGGCAGTCGACCCCGCTTCCGAGCAAGCCTCGCATCGTGGTCTGAGTCCTTCACAAGCTCGACCAGCTGGGCGTTGCCGTCGATGAGAGCCAACCGCTGAACTCCGACACCATCATCGCGATCATCGGTGGAGTCAGCGAGCCTCGCGGCAGTGACGACCTGATCGAACTCAGCCGACGAGGGGTCCGCCACACGCCAGCTGGGGCCTGCCACGCCCCCCGCCCCTGGTGCAGGAGCAGCCCCCAACACCTCGGTGATCCCGCGCGCCTGCTCGTGCATGGTGGCGATCCGAGCAGGGGTTCGCTGCGGCCCTCGAAACACGCACATCGTCGCACCCGGGTCGACCTGGAAGGACACGCTCGGAGCCAGCGGCCGCACATCAACCCCATTGAAATCCCCCTCATAGTCATCTCCGTCTGGGGACCCTCTGATCCACCGACCAGCAGCCACCCTGGTGAACAAGACACGGCGATGGTAGAGCAGCCCAGCAGCGTCGTCGTCGTAGCAGACGAGAGTCAGCATTTTGTCTGCGTCTAGAGTCCGATCGATCGTCGCCATGCCTCCACCTCCTCGCGAGACGCTGGTCCCTGCAAGGCGGCAGACGTGGACGACCGCACCACTCGGCGACGCCCTCCGCACCTCCCGAACACGTAGCCGAGGAGCAAACACAGCAAGCTAAAGATCACGGCGAACTCCAGAGGCACCGTCCGCCCGCCGTTCGGCGGGCCCGCAAGGGGTGTCGACGTGCCCGGGCACTCAGGACAAGGCGGTGCTGCAGCACAGGTACAGGCGGGCGCCGCTGGGCACACCAGTGGGCGCCCCACCGCCTCCTTGACGATCTCGAACACGGGCTCGCAGACCTCCGCCGCGGCGGGCGGAGCAGGGCAGGTGCACTCGCACCTGGTCGGTGCGATGGCGTCTCTGGTGAGCGTATATATGAAGTGGGCGGTCGATGAATAGGAGAGGGCCCACTCGACCATATGCTGCTGACCTTTTCAGCAGAAAAAACTTGAGCACATTGGGCGATGGATCGGAGGGACCTGGCCACGGCTCATGCCGCAAAGAGACATCAGTGATTGCTGCAATATATATATATATATATATATATATATAAATATACATGCAATAGATTCACTCGTGCGTGTGGGTGTTGAAGAAACGGCCCTGGCCCCCAGAGGCCGAAGACGGCGAAAAACCTCCGTCTTGATTTAAGCCCAGTGTGTCGCCAGAGTGTTATTATAGTGGAAACAAACATTTTTTGTGCGTCGGCGGCTGGGCAGAAATTGCTGCTCCAGCGATTGGGCATCAGTAAGGCGCGCTAGATGCAAATTGGGCCGCAATGCGGCAATGCGCGGAAAGAGAGGAGGAGACCCGACTACACGTAGGAGCAGTCCTAGGCTAGAGTGACCTTTGGTGCGTGGCTTCAGGGGCGCTCGTGGGGGCCCAAAGCAATCGCGCAACCAGGCGATGCCGCGCCGCATCAACGATCGGAGGGGCGCCACTCGAACGATTTTCTGTGCCAGCGGGCAACCGCGGAATTCCGCCGATTGAATTCGAGCGCCCCGGATGGCACTTCGAAGGCGCTGCGAAAGCAAACGCTGCTAGGGTGCTGGCAATGCTGGGCTGCATCGCGATGACGTCTGACCAGGCCCGGCGTCATGGCCAAAACCGGCCCCTCCGAAAGCATGGAATATGTTTGAATATCTTCGGAAAACTTATAATAGTAAAGATCCCCTGTTGTTCGAAAAGCATTTCCAAACATGTTCAATGCTATCCAAAGATGTTCAGAAAAATCATAAAAAAAAGACTCAAAAATATTAGAGCCAGATGTTTTGGGATTTGGGCTGGGGTTCGGGACTGGTCTTGAGCCGGCAAGCGCACCGTCTGGTCGACTGGCCCCCCCTCGGGCAACCAATGCACGCTGTAGGGTGCGACGCGCATTGATTGCAAGGGGTGGGCCCAAACCTGGCGCGCTCAGATGTGAGCGTAATCACGCGATGCGGGTGCCGACGCGGGGCCAAGCTCATTCCACGAGAAAAGTCACCCGACCACCTATGGGCCAGCACCAAAGGTCAGTCCGGCGAAGGGTCACTCTTACGTGTAGAAAGGAAGCCGGGCCCGCGCAAGCAGGTCCCGCGTGCGGCGGGGCGGACGCCAGGGGATGGAGCCAGCCGCGGCGCCGGGCATCAGCTGGGGGGGGAAGGCAACCCGACGGCGGCCAGGCAGAGCCGCGTGGGGGAGCAGGTTCCAACAAACAAACAAGCGCAGAAGGGTCCCACAATGGGGCAGGGAGCCCTAGACCGCCCAGTCCGTCACCCAGTTCGCCTAAGACGCCCTCACGATGTATTCAGGAAACGTACTCTCGCCCCAATGCCAGCTACATTTTGGTTCCGCACGGCAGCGATCCCTTGTAACAAATGCACTCAGGTGCACATGATCGTGCGATTCTGAGGAATCCCCAGGGAAACCTAGGAATGCACGGCTTCACTAGCCGACCTCCTACTTCTCGACCCGCCTCTTCACCTTTACTGCGATCAGGATGATTTTAGAGGCCTCCAGAATGGGGGCGGATTAGATGGGGTCGGAGGATCGTGCCACATCACCCATGCTTAGACGACGCATCGTCGATGCACCGGCGACTCACCGTCTATGCACTGGCGACGTCAGCGATGCATCGGCGACGTCGGCGTGGAGAAAATCGGACTCCGCATCGAGCCGCATCTCCGATGCATCTACAATGCGGCGCGATCCTCAGACCCCATCTGCTTCGACCCACTTTGAGCGACGAAGAGAAGCGGGCCTTACGCGAGCTGGGGCAAATATTCGAAACCCGCTGGAGCTCTGGGCCCCTCTCTGCCCCTGCCCCCCTGGGCGCGCCGCCTCCCGTCCCATCTGGCGCGGGGCTCCCGGGGCCCGCCCCCACCCCCCCCCTCTCGAGTCGTTCTCTGCCCGCCCAGTGGCCCGCCGAGGGCCCCAGAGGCCTGTGTTTGATGCGGTGCCCGCTTTCTATGCCCCAACTCGTTCCCGGCGCGTCCCGCCCGTAGCCCGACCAGCGCCTGCACCAGCGTCGACCCGCTTGCGCCCTTAAGTCTATAGATCTGTCCCACCTGCGTGCTACTTTGCCCCGTCAAGTAATCCCCCTCCTTCGCAATGAACCCGGTGCACCCTGCGATTCGCTAATTTCCTAAATCGGAGGTCAATATTGAAGCTGTGATGACTTCAAGATTGATTTCCAGCGCATGCCTCTTGCAAACCGTCATGTCCATGGAACTGCGAGGGCACGAGCAAGACCAACCAATTCGCTGCATCATGTGCTTGCTCACTGCGCGACATGGATGTGGAAATCAAGATATGCCGGTAAAATTAATACCCTTTCTTGGCAGACCCCTTCAAAGACGATCGCGAATCCCCTCCAAGAACCCTTCTAATAGCGGCCTAGATGAAGTCACGGAGGAATCGAGGTGGCCGCCACTTCGGGCGGATCGTCTCCGCAAGCGTCCAGAAAGATGATGGCGTCTGAACTGCGCGGCTCACTTCATCCGCATTGGGCCAGGGCTCGGCATGGCACGCATGCAGCCCTGGTTCAAAAGCCTTGGGCCAGCACCGCTGCGACTGCTCCCCTTGCATCGCTCGGACGTCACAAATAAATAAACACAAATAACAGGATTCCCAACATTTTCCCAGATGTTCTGGATGTGTGTCTTCCCCCCACTTCCCATAGTTTCCCATATTATCTGGGGAATCGACGATTAATTGTTTTCGTGGCGTCGGACGTCTGCGTGTGAAGCACCGCGTGTGCCGGCCGCGTCGCTGAAAAACCGACCCAGGGGGGCCCTCCGAGACTGGGAGGACTCCGAGACTGGGAGGACTCCCCGACCGCTCCAACGAACGGTCCCCCCATCCCCTCACCCATCCTCGCTCGCGCTCGCGAACGACGACGAAGACGACACGGCCAACGACGCCAGAGCACACGACGACGACGACAACGACGACGACGACGACGACGCCGACGCTCATGACGACGACGACGCCGACGCGGACGACCGAGACGACGCCGACGCTCATGACGACGACGACAACACCGACGACGACGACAACGACGACGACGACGACCAACGACAACCTCGAGGACGACGACGACGACAACCATCTTGCGAACATGTGGTTGAACCAGCCGATTTGAGCTCCCTTTGTTTCTCACCCTCTCTCTAACCCGCCCTCTGAGTCCATAACACAAGCCTCAGTTGGGCGGGGGGCTCATTTCATACCAGCTCCTGTGAGAAGCCCGACGCAGCATAGGGCGCGCATGCTAAGTGTGAGAAAGCATCCGACCAGAGCGCATGTAGTAAAATACGAGGGCATATCGAGCGGGATCGCCTAGTTAACTGAGTTCCGCGAGTTTGGGGGCCTCTCTAGCCATACTGAATTGCGAAGAGATATCGGGCCAGAGCGCCATTGCTGATTTGTAGGGACTCTCTGGCAGGGACCTCTCGGAGTAAATTGTGAGGACGTATGGAGCGGAAGCCGTTTTCATCACAGTTGGGTCTCCATCTACTTGACGAAGGTATCGGGTGAGAGCGCCATTCCTGAGTTTGGGGGCCTCTGTGGCCAGGGCGTGTCGGGTTAAATTGCGAGGGCCTTCGCCGAATGACTTGTCTGCGTTTAGAAAAGATCGCGGGTGAGAGCGCCATTCCTATGTTTGGGGGACTCTCTGGCCAGGGCGTCTCGGAGTAAACTGTGAGGAAGTATCCAACGGAAGCCCCGTCGTTGATGTTGGGACTTCGCCTACTTGACTGCCTTGCGAGAGGGTATCGGACCAGAGCGCCATTCCTGAGTTTGGGGACCTCTCTGGCCAGGGCGCCTCGGAGTGAATTGTGAAGGAGTATCTAGCGGGAGCCGTTGTCGTGGCATTTGGGGTGTCAGCGACCTGGAAGCAAGCCCACGCTGAAACGGGAGTGTTGCTTTCAGGGAGGGATGTAGCTGGCGTCGAAGCGAGAGCGAGCAGATATTCTTCCAGGGATCAACAATAGTTGTTCTCTAGAAGTAAATATTCCGAAGACTTCCTCGACGACGACGACGAAGACGACGGCGACGGCGACGGCGACGGCGACTGCGACGGCGACGGCGACGGTGACGCCGACGCCGACGCCGACGACGCCGACACTGCCGCCGCCGCCGACACCGACGCCGACGCCGACGACGGCGAAGCCGAGGGGAGTGACGCCGTCCTTGCCGAGCTCGGCGGCGCCGGCCAGGGCGACCAACAGGGAGACCAGGAAGGGCGCCGCCATCCCTCGATCAGCGCGGCCTCGGCTCGACGAGGAGGACGGCAGCGAGGAAAGGCGATGACGGCAATGCCGATGACGACGACGACGACGACGACGATGACGACGAAGACGACGACGACGACGACGGGGAAGGAGAGGAAGGAGGGGGAGGAGGGGGAGGAGGGAGGTGTCTGTGTGTGTGCGCGATCAGGGGATTCGCGGGAGAAGTGATCCGTTCGGTGTCAGTGCGATCTCTGGACCTTCGAAGATGCGGCGGCGCGATTCTCGGGGGCTCGTTTATTGCTCCCCCGCTACCATCCGCCAGAGATCCCCCGACCCCATCTGCTCCCACCTGGGCGGCCTGAATTTGACGCCATGACTGGGCCAATCCTGGGCCCGAGATCGGCATGCGCCCAGCCTGGGTGCAGAGGGCGAAAAGCCCGCCGCCGTGCCATATCTGGCACACTGAGGCGTCACAGAATGCCTAAATGTTGTCTGGCAATTGAGTCGCGTCGAGTCGCGCCCTGCTCGGTAGAACTGACCACGAAAAAAGGGAGGGCGGCGGGCTGTTACAGTTAGGAGACAGGGCAGGCCCGCCTGAAGCAGCGTGGCAGGATAATGGCGACAGCGCTGCCAGGGCGCAGCGCGGTGCTGTATGGCAGGGTTTCTGCGACTCTTCTAGGCACCCCCTCTCTCACCACACTAACCTGTGTGCGTCCCCCCTCTCTCCCAAAGCTCGTTGGCCCGCCCAGCGCCTTCCCAGTGCTCTCCAAGGCTTCCTGAACGGCCCAACTGAAGGGCCGCCAAAGGAGCCCCATCCCAAAGAGAAGGCCATAAGGTCCTCTACGAAAGCCCAAGAGGGCGCCCCGCAGGAGTCCAAAACAGCCTCAAAACGGCCAGGATCACTAGCCCCGCTCACCAAGGAATAGAGGCGGGAGGCGTCACACGTCACGACTGGGCAGTGCTCGAAGCGTCGCGGCACGGAGTGCTGCGCCGGCACAGAAGCGTGACTTGCAGGAGGCAGCTTGATATTTGTTCAGTCGCGGCGCTGGCGGTCGCTCAGCGCGTGGTGGCCTAGAACGGGCTGCGCAACGCCAAGTCGGCACCAAGGAGGCAGGAAGGGAGTACCCGCGGAGGGGGGACTGCAAGTGGGCGAGATGCTCAGAACGTGAATCTCTTGATGGCGGTGCTGAGGTCCAGGCTCCGGGCAGGAGTCGTGCCCAGGGACGGCCCAGGGGCTGCTCAGACCGAACCTGCCACTGTGCAGGGGACGGGAGCAGCTGGACACACGCGCACCCCATGCCTGGCCCGGATGGGCGTCGATGTGCAACTGGCGCCCTCCATAGCCCCCCAGAAAAACGCTCAAAACCAGCCCGCGGATCCCTCCCAGGCCCATCCCGGCCTGCTTTCCGGGCCGCCCCAAAGAAGTGGCGGCGACGAGAGGGGGGGGGCAAGGCAAAAGCAAAACAAAACCGCAAACGCAAAGGGGGGGAGGCTCCCGAAAGTCCTCTGAAGCCACGCCAAGAACGACAACGCCCAACAGCGGGTACCCGTGGCGACGAGCGCTCTCCAGGACGAGCAGGGATCCTCTAGAAGTGTGCTTAGGTGGCGACATCCGCACCCTACCCCCGCCGAGCATCGATTCTCCTGAACCGATGGAAGCGGGGGTAGGGTTCGGACTTCGCCACGTGTTCGACGAATTCCGAAACCTACCCCCACCGCCCCATCGAATTGCCTGAATCGGTTAATCGGCGAGGGCAATGTCCGGATCTCGCCACCGAATGGAGACATGCCGCGCGGGGCATCCTGTAGAAAGCGCCCCACATCCATGGGGTCGCGGCCCAGGGGCCCATCCCGCGAGACCGTGGACATGGATGTCTCCCACCCACTAGTGGCTGCGGGGAGGGGAGGGAAGGGGAGAGAGGGACACGGGGGGAGGAGAGGGACGAAGGGAGTGAGGAACAGGCGGTGAAGAGGGAGAGCAGAGCAGGAAGCTGGCTGGTTGCCTCGAGCTCGCGGAGAACCCCTCCCGCCCCCGAGCTCTGACCGGCGGGCTCCGACAGGGCACGCAAGGTGGGAAAGGAACGAGGACGACCCACTCGGCCCATGCCAGCCCCAAGCACCTGCCGCCTTGGGGCGCGGGCCTCGGGGAGCGAGGAACAGCTCCGCCCAATGTCGCGAGACCCGTTTCCGCACAATTCTCTCCATCCCGCTCATCTGGACAAGGAAATGCAACGGAAGGTAACGACCAAAAACCAGTCTGGGCATCGAGAGCCCTCGTCTGCCTCGGGGTCCAAGGCGCTGTGGTCTGCCTCCGAAGCCGACCCCTCCGAGTCTTTCGCAGGGAGGCTCTCACCCGAGGCTCTGATTGAGGGGAGCAAAGCTCCCAGCACGCAAGCTCGGGGGCTCCCGGTGGGGGCAGGGGACCACCGACGGCGCCCCAGCACCCCCAGGACGGGCACCGTCCTGCGCCTGCGTGTTAGGACTGAACAAAGAGGCCATGCGCAGGCGGAGGAGGAGGAGGATCGCACGCCACTGAAGGGAAAAGGGGGGGGAAAACTCCGACGGTCCAAAAAACCCAGGGGGGCCCATCAGAGGGGAGCTTTTTGTCACCCTGACAGGAAGGCCAAAGACCTGCCAGGGGCCAGCGACAGGGCCCCCCCTGGGTATCTAACCGCCCAGTTCTTCTTACTCCAGATCATTGTCTGGGCCTCGTTCACGTCGCCTCAGTCCCAACTCAGCGGCTTCGAACTCATTAGGTCCGAACGCTTGTAGGACATCAGCCAGGCACAAAACTGCACGTGCAGGATGGTCCGAAGTGGCTCTGGCCACCCTTCCAGCTCCCATCTGGGCCTTCTTGGACACCGAGACCCCCCCCGCCAGCTCCCGCACCCAAGCCCCAGGAGTTCGCCAGGAGCCCAATTTGAGAGGCCTGCTGGGGTGCATGCCGCATGCCCTTACAGACTGCTCGAGAGTCTTTCCTACCTGGGTCCACCCGGGCCTGCTGGGACCCTCCGCAGCCCTTGCGCAGGCCTCTGGATCCCGCAGACACCGCGGCATACCCCCCGCAGGTCGAACAAAAAAGGATGGGAGGCTGGTTATCTTCAACCACGAATTGCAGCAACACGTGCTCTCCGATGAAAGCAGGGGCCTGGCGGGCATCCTCTGCCATCGCCAGCAGCTCGGGCACCAAGGGCTCAGAGGGAGGCCCCGAGGATTGTTAAGGAGATTCGGGAGGAGGAGCAGGAGCAGTAGCACCCTCGGCACCTCCCTCGTCCTGCCTCCTCACCGCCTAAAGGGCCTCCTCAAAGTCGGATCTCCCCCTCCAGGGAGATCTCTGTGAGCCCCTGGGCTCCGACATAGTCCCACCTGCCTTCCTGCGCAGATTGGCCTTCAGCCCAACTAATGAACAGAAGGAGCAGGCGTGCGACATGGAGCATGCCTTTGGACATCAGGACAACATTGGACGGGCATCCGCATAGCTACGCACCCAACTTAGAAAGCCGATCAGGTCCAGCACTGCCCCCCCTCTCAAAGTGGCTGATACGCCCTTCGCGCGCATCGGTCATCGACGCGTGGGCCGCCACCTTATAGCAACTCACCTGAACGGGCGTTCCTTCCTGGAAAGCTTCTTTCCAGAGAGACGCCGCTAGTCCTTCAACCTTGAACTCCCAAACACGCAAACTGCGATCAAGTGCCGCCTGCACTACAAGCGGCCTGGGACCTCCTACTTGCTCAATGAAATCAACGTCACTCTCTCCGTCTCTCAAGCGACTTACTCTCTCTCTCTCTCTCTCTCTCTCTCTCTCTCTCTCTCTCTCTCTCTCTCACTCTCTCTGTCTCTCCCGCCCTTCATCTCCCTGGCGCCTCAATTCAGTATGTGTTCGCAGCTCTCCACCAACTCCGGATGCGTTATCTGCACCCGTGGCGTCGCGATGACCACGCGGCGGCTCGGTCGGCGTTCGGCGTGCGCAGGGCGGCGGTGGCCACCCCGCCCTCATCGCAGCACTCTCCGCTTCCTCGGCCTAACTTTGGCCTGTCCAGCCACCTGCTTGAGTTGGAGCACAACAGGAGAATACGGCCCAACTGGCGTGTCAGGCTGCTCACTGCACTCTTTAACTTGAGATTCTAGACAGCGGCTGACAACAAAAAGGTCGCAACACTTACTGTGGCACGTCGCTCCTGGGGGCCTGACCACTGTCGCCCCAAGGTGATCTGCCCATTGGGATGCAATCAGCTGCTCCGCATTAACGTTCCAGTCTCCACCTGGCGCAAACGGGCCGCCCGCCGAGGCCACCACTTCACTGAGCTCCTCTAAAAACGTGAAATTGGCGCCTGAGAGCCCAAGCGTGGCGTGGCCGTACAACTGACACAAAAAGGATCGGGGAGGAATGGTGCATCATGACCTTGACCACGCAGCGCCTCACCGACCAGCAGCTCTGCCCGTGGCCGTTGCTGCCAAAATGTGCCTTACATACTAAGGCCGTCCTCCCAGACGTCTCTCGGCGCCCTGCTCCCGTTCGCTCCGCCTCCGCGACCCATGACATGTATCCAGCTTTGTGAAACCAACTGCGGGCCACTTTAATATGTTCCAGTTCCAGCCTGTGCTCTTGAAAAAACAAGGCACCGTGCACAATATCTTTCTCGTTCCAAGCCCATTCCATGTGACTCTGAGCCGAAGACCACGACTTGCTGTTGTCGCTGACCAGCTGGAAATCACATCTCTGAGATGTGGGTGGAGGGCCGCTCCGACCTGGGGCATCGACCATCTGCGCGCCTGCAGCCCAGGAAGGAGGCTGGGTCTGATCGAAGGCATCGACCACCCGCACGCCTGCGGCCTCGATCCAGGACCCGCTGCCTGCCTTTAGGGTCTGCCCTCCAGCGGGCTCCCCAGGGGCCACCAGCCCCGAACCTCCTGCGCGCCGCCGCCTCCACTGCTGCGAGGGGGCAAGGCCGCTCCACGCTGGGGCATCGACCGCCTGCACGCCTGCAGCCCAGGGTGGAGGCTGAGTCTGCCCAACGGCATCGACCACTCGTTCGTCTGCGGCTCCGATCCAAGACCCGCTGCCTGCCTTTAGGGTCTGCCCTGCAACGGGCTCCCCAGGGGCCGCGAGCCCCGAACAACCAGCGCGCCACCGCCTCGCGTGCGGCGTGGGGGCAAGGCCGCTCCAACTTGGGGCATCAACCACCTGCACGTCTGCAGCCCAAGGTGGGGCCTGGATCCGATCGAAGGCATCGACCACCCGCACGCCTGCGGCATCGATCAAAGACCCGCTGCCTGCCTTTAGGGTCTGCCCTCCCACGGGCTCCCCAGGGAACGCCAGCCCCGAACAACCAGCGCGCCACCGCCTCGCATGCGGCGAGGGGGGCAAGGCCGCTCCAGCTTGGGGCTTCGACCACCTGCACGTCTGCAGCCCAAGGTGGAGGCTGGATCCGATCGAAGGCATCGACCACCCGCACGCCTGCGGCCTCGATCCAGGACCCGCTGCCTGCCTTTAGGGTCTGCCCTTCCACGGGCTCCCCAGGGGCCGCCAGCCCCGAAAAATCCGCGCGCCACCTGCCTGACCGCTGCTGAGCCCTAAAGGCCCGACCCACTGCCTTCGGCCAGCTTGGCTCTGGCCGCGTCGACAGCAGCTTGCAGCTCCTGGGTGCTGGGAGTGTCGGCTCCCCCCGTCGGTGTCGTGGCCGCCGACTCAGGCACTGCATGCTCAGCACCACAAGCGGCAGCACCAGCCGCAGGAGGAGCCCCAGGCGCCGCTGCGGGTGGCGTTCCAGGCTGGGCGGCGGCAGCGGCACTGGTGCCATCGCCACGGTCGGACTGGCGGGCACGCTTGGCCGACAAGCGTGTCCGCATGTCTCTGGCTTCCGCTCTGAGCCGCTGAATGTTGTCGGCGCTGGGCCCAGTGGCGGCCACAACTGCCTTCTGGATCTCCGCCGCCATGTTGCTTTTGAGGGCAAGCCACCGCTGCTTGTCCTCGTCCCCAATCTCGAGCTCACGGAGGTCGAGGGCCTCGCCGTCCACGATCTCCACGCCTTCGAAGCCACTCTCTTCCCCCAGCAGCTGCGACAGGTTGTTCTGGGAGCCCGTCGGCATATGCACCGCGTCGGGCGGAGGCCCCGCACCAGGCGTCGAGCCGCGGGCCTTCTGCAGCTCGGCCTTGAGCTCCTCTTGCCAGGCAAACTTGGCCTGCACTGCCCATAATGCCGCCTCCTGGGTCCTCTGGCTGCACTCCGCCAGCCAGCGCCGCGCTTCATCCTCCTGGTGGACCGCGTGCTCCAAAGCCTTCTCCGCCCTCCTGCACGCCACTCCCTTCGCACTGATGGTCTCCTCCAACAGCGGCTGGCGGGCTGGCTGCGCAGGCGCGGGCGGAGCCACCACCCTGACCAAGGCCTGCAACTCCTGTTCGCCTGCGTCCGCCTTGACATGCTGCTGGAGCTGCTTGAGGATCTCAGCCACTGTCGGTTGCGGGGCCGTCCCACGCTGTGGTGGCGTCGAGGCCTTCGGGCCCTCAAGGCGGCTGGGTGCCCAGGTCCCTGGCGGGTGCGCGGGCCCATGTTGGCCACCATCCTCACCTCCAGGCGACCAAACTCCTTTGGCCTGGCGCCACGGCAGCGGCGGCGAGGGGACCAGCGCATTGCCACAGGAGAAACAATGTTCTCGCGACTTCCAGTTCCAGCGGTATCGGCAGCTTGAGCAAGAAAGGTAGCCCTTGGCGGCATCCTTGCCCATGGGCTCCTCCAGGAGCTCACCCAGAACGGAAGGATGTTGTGCCAGTGAGGCACCAGGTACAATCGCGGAGTGGCCGTGAGGCCGTGTGTGAAAACAGCCTGGACGAAGGCCCAGGGATCGCAGGTGGGGGCGCACCTCCCCCTTGCCACCCTCAAGTCGCTGAGCCCCCCGCTACGGACTTGAGCCAAAATGGCTACGGAGGAGGAGGAGGAGGAGGAGGAGCAGAGGGATGAGGAGGAGCCCAATGAGGAGGAGGAGGAGGAGGAGGAGGGCACGAAGCTCGAGGAGGAGGAGGAGGAGGAGGAGGAGGAGGAGGAGGAGCCAAATCCCAAATCGTGAGCCCACAAATCGCCCTGGGACTGGCTTCCTTTCTGAACTGTTGTACAGCCCTGGGGTTCAGGGAAGGGCCATGGGAGGCCGAAATCGGCGCGAAAAGTCCAGCAGTCCGTTCCCTCAGGACCCTGTTCAATGCGGCCTGGAGCATCAATCCCAGGACTTGGCCTGGCGTGCGTTTGGGCCAGAACCTCGACGGGAATCCAGCCGCGGCGACGAGGAGCCCACATGGGAGGCCCTGAAACCTGAAAAACCTGAAAGTGCCTCGAACATCGACCATCGGACCTCGATCCTCTTCGCGGCGGCCGCTGTGCGCTCGGCGCTGGCGGTGCGCGCCGCGCGCTATCGCATAGGATGTGATATATGTATGTGTACAATTTGCCCGGGCCTGGCGCTCGAGCCGACAAGCGGGGGCCACGGGCGGGGGGAGGGGGGGGGCAGGCGCCACCAGGCGGCCATGCGCGGCGGCGGGGTCGGGGTGCAAGAGGAGGGAGGAGGATAAGGACAAGGCCGTTGGGGGTCAACTGGCCAACTCTAGCCGAGTTTACCGGCCCCGGATATGGCTGCAGGCCCTGAACACTCCTGGCTCGTTGGGCCAATGGGCGAGGGCGGCTACCACCTGTGAGGTGCAACCCCCCCCGCTGGGGGGAGGAGGGGGACGGAGGAGGAGCAGCAGCATCAGGGGGGGAAGGGCAGTAGCAGGAGGAAGGAGGGAGGACAGGGGGGAGGGGGGGGGGGGCAAGCTAGGTGCACTCGCGTCATATCTGACGCCCCCTCCCTCCCATCCCTTACCATGGCGTAGATCTCTTCTCAATTCGCACAATCGGATGTAGTAGCATGGCATAGAATTACATGGCATAGCATGGTGTTGAAATTCGACGCGTAGCATGACATAGCATCGCGTGGCGACGCCCCAAAGAGGGGTGGGGGCTTCTGCGGCCCAAAAAATCAACGAATCGACACCAACTGTGGAATCACTTCCGATGGTTTCTTCAGGGGGCCATTTTTTAGAATTTGGGGCCTACTTGAAAGACCGACACCATGCCGTTGCATGGCACTGGAAATAATGACGCCAACGCTGCAGCGGGAGCACGATTCGGAACGAGCGGAAGCGCGTATATGAGGCCAGCGCTGCAGCGAAAGCACGATTCGGAACGAGCGATGGCCCGAAAATGAGGCCAACGCTTCAGCGAGAGCAGCATTTACCCCCCCAAAAAACAAAAACAAAAAAACACGAAAACTCATTTTCCGGGAATCTGGAAGAAGAAAAACAAACAAAAAAACGCGGAGGGGGGGGGTCGGCCATGCCTGGCCATTTCCCGGACGTCACCAGGGGAGAGAGAAGAGTAGTATTCATATTGCACTCTTATGGAAGAAAAAGGGGTAGGGGGAGGGGAAGACAGAAGGATGAGGCTGCATGAGAGGGGAGGAGCAGCAACAACAGTACATGCGATGCGGTTCTTCTGTGGCAAAAGATGTTCGGCACACATTGTTTCCCATGCCACTCACGAAATGCAGCGTTCATCTTTCCGCATCCACGGGCGTGTGCCCTCCAGGGAGCACAACATACCAAGCACGGAATGTCGAACTCGTCACAAGCGGCTGCCCCAAAATTCGACTCTGGAGTCCACTCAACCACAAGTCGAAAACCGCGAAAGGGAACGGAACGATCCATTGCAGGCGCCTCGCGGCACGGATCCGAATGGTCCATCCCGCGCACGCTGAGAATCGATCCTGGCGATCGCTTCTCCCGCGGGGTGAATACAGCCCCAAAGCGATCACTCCGAAGCGAAACAGCTGCAGCGTGCTGCTACTCTACCCCGATGGGCGCGCTGAGCGCGGAGGCGGGTTCGGAAGAGACCTCGGCGGCTCGCGCACATCTGCGAGGAGCTGGAAGCCGCGCGCCCCCCGCCGGGCCCCGCCAGTGCGTCCAGCAAAAGGCTGCTGCAAGCAGGCTGGCGCGAGGAAGACCTCTAGGGCAGCAGACGAGAGAGCAAGAGGACGCGGACAGGGGGGCAGACGACCCTGGGCCCGCCCAGGAAGAGTCACCTGGGCAGGAAGAATCACTTGGGTGCGGCCCTGCCGTTCACGCGGCTCCGCTTTGAGCTCTTCTACTTCGCTCGATCCACGAACCGGACGATGCAGGACTGCTCGTGCATGGTGTCCACGCACAGGCTGGCGGTCTGTTTCCAAGGAGGGACATGGTTTCCACCTCGCGATCGGCGCCGTCTGCAGGCACGTGTGGCGGCGGCTGTTTGCAAACCTGCCCATATTTGGGGCGCCTGCGGGTGTAACTGCGTGGCCAGACCACCTCATTCACAGTCCTATTCCCTGCCTGCTTTCTCGACGTCAGAAGGGTGGGATCTCTAGCAACAAAATTGAGTGCGTGGTGTCGTGTCGTACAGAGGTCTGCTGCTTTTGGAGGGGAGATCTTGCACTTGACAAAAGACTTGGTTTTGTTGGTGAGACGTTGGGAATACCAGTGGCTCCTAAAAATTCTGCGCATCCGGCGAGTCCCCGAAGCAGGACAGTTCAAGTTCAACCAGAGATCATCTCGGCTCATTTCTACATTTTCAAAGTTGTCTACGCAACGCTTGCACGGTGTATTGTTAGGTGAAACGTTTCGGGCCGGGCTGAAGCAGTCTTCCCTGGCGGCCACCATACGACAGGACCGCAACGAAGCATGGCGCACGATGGCACGAATGGAGCATCCCAAGCGGCGAAAACTCGAAAGCATCATGCAAGCACGACCCGGCAGACGCATTGACTTCGAGCACATATTCATCAGCATATACGGTGTTGGTTGGGAGCAGAATTTGATCAAGCCAGGGAGTTCCAAGCGTCGGTGCCGTGATGATTTTGTCCGCCTGGCTGCAGTGGGGTGGGGGCTCCGCAAAGAAGGCGGAGACCGAGGTATATTGAATGAAGACCCCTCGCACGCCGAGCGCAAGAAAACAGTATCAAGAGCTCTCCAGCACAATGTCTTTGGTTTCTGTTGATTTACCAGAAGTTCTGCCGGGCGACCTCCTTTGGGCCACGGAGCCGAAGCAATTTGAGTTTGTCACTGATGACGAAACCTTGGCAAAGGTGCTCACAGGACAGTCTGCGCCGGAACCGCAACACGACAATGACATCGACATGTGCATCGACATGCTGCGTTCGATGATGGATATGGGCTGGCGCCCAAGGTGCGCCGTCGGCGAGCCAGCTGTGTGGAGATCCTGGGAGGACAATCAAGCTGCAGATGCCGTGGCAAATCATTGCATGGACCATGGCATCAATTTGCTCAATTGGGATCAGAGTATAGTCAGCCATTTGCGTGGTGATCACTGTTGTCTCCAAGTACATACGGATGGAGGGGCACGCGGGCTTCCCATGTAGGCTCCACGGGAATGACGGTTACGCTCTGGAAGCACCATCCACAGCAAGGCTGGATACGGCAACTGTTCTTCGTGAAGGGCCAGTTTGTCGACCACGAGTACACACCCTTTTTCTCAGACCTTCTAGCGATGAAGGAGGCCATGAGACTAGTGACTACATGGATGCAACTTTCCCAACTTGAACGTCTTTGAGACCAATCCTCCCAAGGTCCAGGGTCGCCCGCCACGAAAAAAAGTAGCAGCAGTATTAGTTCTAGCTGTAGTAGTGGTAGTAGTAGTAGTAGTAGTAGTAGTAGTAGTAGTAGTAGTAGTAGTAGTAGTAGTAGTAGTAGTAGTAGTAGTAGTAGTAGTAGTAGTCGTCATAATAGTAGTAGTAGTAGTAGTCGTAGTAGCAGTCGTAGTATTAGTAGTAGTAGTCGTCGTCGTAGTAGTCGTAGTAGTAGTCGTAGTAGCATCAGTAGCAGTAGCAGTATCAGTAGTAGTAGTAGTAGTAGTAGTAGTAGTAGTAGTAGTAGTAGTAGTAGTAGTAGTAGCAGTAGTAGTGCTGGGGGAGTAGAAGTGATAGTAGTAGAGTCGTGGTAGTAGTAGTAGTAGCAGCAGCAGCAGTAGTAACAGTGACAGCAGCAGTAGCAGCAGTCGTAGCACTACAAGAATAATAATCGCAACACATAACAGTAGTAACGGACATGGCAGTAGTAGTAGTAGTAGTAGTAGTAGTCGTAGTAGTAGTAGTAGTAGTAGTAGTAGTAGTAGTAGTCAGTAGTAGTAGTAGTAGTAGTAGTAGTCAGTAGTAGTAGTAGTAGTAGTAGTAGTAGTAGTAGTAGTAGTAGTAGTAGTAGTAGTAGTAGTAGTAGTAGTAGTAGTAGTAGTAGCAGTAGTAGTAGTAGTAGTAGTAGTAGTAGTAGTAGTAGTAGTAGTCGTAGTAGTAGTGGTGGTAGTATTGGAAGTAGTTGCAGTAATAGTAATAGCAGTAGTAGTAGTAGTAGTAGTAGTAGTAGTAGTAGTAGTAGTAGTAGTAGTAGTAGTAGTAGTAGTAGTAATAGTGATGGTAGTAGTAGCAAAAAACACTACTAGGAGTAGTAGTAGGAGTAGTAGTAGCAGTAGTAGTAGCAGCAGCAGGAGTAGCAGTAGTAGCAGAAGCAGTAGCAATAGCAATAACAATAGTATGATCGCACATTACCTTCATGCCGGGCCAAACGTCACCTTCGTGTACTTATTCTGTCCACTACCTTTTGAAGCGGCTATACGAAGCAAACATACGCCTCCTCCTGTACCTTACATCCAGACCTTATCCGCCTCCTCTTCTGCCATCCCCTGCGAATGCTCCTCATCCGCCCCTCTTCTTGCTTCGTTGCCTCCTCCTCCTCCTCCTCCTCTCTTCCTCCAACTTCTCTTCCTCCTCCGCCTCCTCCTCCTCGATGTCCTCCTCCGCCTCTTCCTCCTCATCCTCCTCCCTCTCCTCCTCCTCCTCCTCCTCCTCCTCCTCCTCCGCCTTCTCCTCCTCCTCCTCCTCCTCTTCATCCTCCTCCTCCTACTCCTCATCCTTCTCGTGCCCCTCCCAATGATTATCCTCATCAACATCCTCGTCATCATCATCATCAGCAGCATCATCATCATCAGCATCAAGGTCATGAGCATCACCATCAGCATCAGCATCATCAGCGTTGGCACCAGCATCATCATCACCAGCAGCAGCATCAGCATCAACATCATCATTATCATGTTGATCGTCATCAGCCGCAGCATCAACAGCTGCATCGTCAGCATCATCGGCATCATCAGCATCACCACCACAATCATCATGGTCACCATCATCACCATTACCAACGCCATCAGCCTCACCTCATCAGCATAACCATCATCAGCATCCGCATTAGCTCCAGCATCAGCATCATCATCAGCAGCATCATCAGCATCATCATCGACATCATCATGATGCCCCTCCTCCTCATCCTCGTCATCATCATCCTCATCATCAGCAGCATCATCATCATCATCATCATCAGCATCATGATCATCATCATAATCATCATCATCAGCATCATCATCATCATCATCCTCAACATCAGCATCATCATCATCATCAGCACCATCGTCAGCAACATCACCATCCTTCTCATCCTCCTCCTCGTTCTCCTCCTACGTCCTCCTCCTCCGCCTCATTGGTCTCATCCTCCTCCTCCGCCTCCTCCTCCTCCTCCTTCTCCTCCACCTTGTCCTCATTGTCCTCCTTGGCTTCCTCCGCCTTCTCCTCCTCCTCCTCCTCCTCCTCCTCCTCCTCCTCCCCCTGCTCATCCTCCTCATCAGTCTCCTCTTCTTCCTTCTCCTCCTCCTTCGCCCCCCTCCTCCTGAACTGACCACTACCACAGAACGCGCGAAACCTGCACGGACTCACGCACCAAAATGAGTCTGGCGGATGGCCCAGCCATATGCAATTGTGAATATCGCAATTGTGAATATCGTCTTCGGTGGAACGCCCTATGAGGCCACGAACCTTGTGAGAGGTGTGCCGAACTGGAACGGGGCCGCCATGCGAACCCAACAACTGGCGCCCTCGGTGGAGCTCCCTACTGGGCCACGATCCCTGTGAGGGGTGCGCCGAAATGGGGCAGGGCCGCCATGCGAACCCTGCCACTGCCACCCTCGGTAGAGCTCCCGACGGGGCCGCGAACCTCGTGAGGGGAACGCCGAAATTGGGCGAGGCCGTCATGCGAACCCTGCCACTGGCGCCTTCGGTGGAGCGCCCTACTGGGCCACGATCATCGCGAGGGCTGCGCCGAAATGGGGCGAGACCGCCATGCGAAATTTGCCACTGGCGACTTCGTTGGAGCCCATATGGAGCCAGGATCCTCGTGAGGGGTGTTCCGAAATGGCCCGAGGCCGCCATGCGAGCCCTGCCACTGGGGCATTCGGTAGAGTCCCATACTGGGCCACGATCCTCGTGAGGGGTGTGCCGAAATGGCCCGAGGCCGCCTTGCGATCCCTGCCACTGGCGTCTTCGGTGGAGCTCCGATGGGGCCACGATCCTCGTGAGGGGTGTGATGAAATGGGGCGAGGCCGCCATGCAAACCTTGCTACTGGCGCCTCGGGTGGCGCTCCTATGGGGCCACGATCCTCGTGCGGGGTGCCGAACTGGAACGAGGCCGCCATGCGAACCCTGCCACTGGCGCCTTCGGTGGAGCTCCTATGGGGCGACGATCCTCGTGAGGGGTGTCCCGAAATTGCCAGAGGCCGCCATGCGAACCCTGCCACTGGCGCCTTCGGTGGAGCTTCCCATGGGGCCACGATCCTCGTGAGGGGTGTGCCCAATTGGCCCGAGGCCGCCATGCGAGCCCTGCCACTGGGGCACTCGGTGGAGCTCCCTATGGGGCCACGATCCCTGTGAGGGGTGCACCGAAATGGTGCGGGGCCGCCATGCGAACTCTGCCACTGAAGCCTTTGCTGGAGCTCATATGGGGCCACGATCCCTGTTAGGGGTGTGCCGAAATGGCCCGAGGCCGCCTTGCGAACCCTGCCACTGGGGCCTTCGGTGGAGCTCCCTATGGAGTCACGAAACGTTGTGCTGGGTGTGC